CCCACTGTGACCGCGAGCTTGCTGTGCAGCCTGCTCTGCCCCAGTGGCCACGTTTGGGAACGACTACTCCTCAGCCTTTTCAGTCTTAACCAAGTGGTATCTTAGTGGTATAAGGAACAAAAACTTTTTCTTGTTACTAGAATATTAACCGTGGTCACCGTATACTGATAATGCTGGTGCATCAACAGTACAGGTGTTACCTACTTGTCTTCCAGAGCTTTGTCCTTACTTGTAAAACTGAATCAGCACGTCAACTAGAAGAGACCCGTATGAAAATTTACATTAAAAACAAATGTAAAACCTTGAAAATGATCAGAGGAAATATCTGTAAACAGAAAAATGAATGCAAGGTACACCTGAGCAGGACATGACCCTGGTCTGGGCCAACTAACTTGCGGAGTAAGTAAAAGTCCTCATCTGCTCTCCAGCCTGCCGTGGGGAAAGTGACTGAATGATGTACCACAGCTGTCCCTGGGTACAAGGGCTTGCCAGAGTGACAGCAGGATGAGCACGGGCACTGTAGTGTCCTTTACAATGTGCTGGGGAAGAGGGCTTTTGGGAAGCCTGATGGGCCTGTGGGGAAGGGGGCTACACAGGGGCTGAGAGATACCTAAGTTCTTTAGGGCCACATTACATGGCGTGTGCCTGAACTGTATTTCTATAAAGCTATTAGTTTTTAAAAACACAACACAGTAAAAGGATCACACTGCAGAGGTGACCACCAGCTCTGGGAAAGAGTTCTGGTGACAGGATCACATCCCTCCACTGACAGATAAGGACAAAATTAAGAAGAGCACGTCCAAATGTAGCTAGGGGTATGGCGAAGATGCACAAAGAACCAGTTCATGAAGAATATGGGTGAAAAGCATAGCGTGTAAAGGAATACATTATTTCAGATACTAAATATGTATGTGCAACTAAAACCAATAAATATTGTTAAGAAATCCAGCTTTCCAGAAAGCGTACCTCCATAAATCCATACACTTGGGTCATGCCTAAAGCCTCTGTATCTTCTCGCCAGCCGGCAGGAACCTGCCCCGATCTGGAGCCTTCCCTGCTTTCCATGCTGTCTCCATCTGTCGGCCAGCACAGAGGTTCTCCGGAGGTGCTGGGGGGTGGCCACAGATCACACCCCTAGCTCACTGCCTGGCTGCCTGCAACGTGCTCAAGCATGAGCTGTCCCGTCGCTGGTCCACGGTTCCTTCACGGAGCCCCACGGGGGATGGAGGTTGGAGAGGGGCCGAGACAGGCTCGGGGGAACAAGGGCCTACTGTGCTTGGGCCCGAGGAGGTTCCTGTGCCAGCACCAGGCAGAGGAACAGACTGCGAGGAGACATGCTGCTTAGCTCTCAGAACACCAATTCTTCCACTGGTTACAGTGTTATCAAATGACCACCATTATTAATTTGGGGTCGTTTCACTGATTTGCTTCCACACATCTATTCTTTACATAAACAGGATCAGGGTATGTGCTTTGCCACCCCCACCCCCCAGTAAATCAGCTTTTCCACAACTGTCCACACGGCCCCTTTGAAGGCTGTGTACCGCACACACATACTCATGATGTGTCCATCAACTTCCCCGCTGACAGCACGCCCAGTCTATTACAGCGACAGTGCAATGAGCACCCTCATGTCTGGTCTTTGTGCACAAGTGTGCAAGTGTTTCTGCAGAAAGATCCCTAGGAGAATTGCTGGGACAGAGCGTGAGGGAGAAGGTCGCATCCACCGTTTCACTTAACCTAGGATACACGTGAGCCACGGCAGATGCTGGAGCAAGGTGGTGACAGTTCATGTTAGGAAAACAAGCCAGGCAGAGACAAGGGCAACAGGAACCAGCATTTATTAGAGGGACCTTCTCTGTCTGTATTCTTCTTTAAGGAGCAAATGAGGACTACAATTCCTATACATACAGTAGAACAGGTGAAAAAGGGGGTTTGAGAGAAGACTTTAAGCTCTGTCAGAAAAAACGTGTGCCTTAGAAATCCAGCTTCTGTTCGTTTCACTCAGAAATGCTTCTGTAACTTTGTAGGCTCATGAATTTAATATTTGGCTACGTGAAGATGTCAAAACCCCAAGTGAAAGAGGAGCGGCAACACTGTCCCCACAGCCCTGAGCAGAGGCGTTTTCTCTCCAGAGCTGCACCCCCTAGGAGGAGGCTGTGGGCACCGAGACCAAGCTGACCTCTACGTCAGCTCCCAGCCTGGGTTCTTTCTCTCAATGCTCTCTCCTCCTACCGTGGGCTGGGGCTGGTTAGGGGAAGGGGGAGGCTTGACAGCCCTCAGGTTCTGGGGCCCACAGGACACCAGGGCTGTCACCTCCAGACACCTGACTTACCTGCAAAAAGCTCATTCACATCACATCCCCCCACCTAGAGGCACACTTCACAGGGCACAGGGTCTCCTGCCTTCCCAGCTGCACCGGGAGCCTGGTGCCCTGCCAGCCCACACAGGGGACTACGAAGGCGAGGGGAGGGAGGGTAGAGAAACAGGACTTGGTAGATGGCTGGGCATAGCACACTGTTCCTCATCCTTGGGGGTGAAATCTGTGGGTGTCTCTCCTGAAGAAGGTGCAGCCACACTGAAAGCTGCACACAGCATAGGGAGTGGGAAACCCACGGACCCTACTGCAGAAGCCCAGACACGGGGTCAAATGAGAGGGCTGACTCACATACTGAGACTTCCTAAGTCAGAACAGTGATGCTTATCCATGAAGTCAGGAACAGCTGGGAAGACAATGAGCTGAGATGCAGACACTTATATAAGGCGATGGCCAAGCACTCAAGAGAAACGTTCAGCAGGTAAAGTGGGAGCAGTGGAACTGAGGCTGGAGTGAACCGAACTTGAACCAATTTGGAAATATTTATAAAGGCAAGACAGAAGGCGCTCCAAGAGTGATGTGCAAAGGAGGAAGAGTGCTGGGTCCAGGCCCCCACTGTCTGTGCACACCTGGCGAACCGAGGGTGCGAGGTCAGCGTGAGAGAAGGGTATGCGGAGGGACAAGGAGGCAGAAGATCTCACCCTCCTAGAGGCCACAGGCAGGAGCCTCCTCCCAGCTCCGTGTGGAAAATCCAGGGCCCATACCCTGTGGACCACATGGCACGGAGGGAGGTGACCCTTTATATCCCTGACAGCCCTCAGAGCCCAGTCTGGAGCTCCCTCTTCAATGAGCCCTGGCAGTTCCTTCACAGCCTCTTCACGGAGAGGACACGCAGGCATGACCCCTTCACACCTGGCCACAGAGACAAAAGGCCTCAAGCACGGGGAGTGATCAGGACAAGCCCTACAGGATAAATGCCAGGTGCTTTAAAAGATAAACGATAAGCAAAGCAGAATGAACATACGTAAGTGCAAGCAACAAAAGACACACTTTAATCGGGTAGTTCCTTTTCTCTTAGGAACAGATAATCAAACACAGATGAAATACAATTTGGGGATATGCTTCCTAAAAAATTCAGATTTTTTTCCTTTAAGGTTGGGGGAGGAAGGCCGAGAGTAGAAGCAGCAAGACTGTTAGGACCTGGTAAGTGCAGGAGCTGGTGAAGCACGACAGACCCAACCCATCATCTCAGGAGACCATCTCTTCCTCAAAGTCTGAGGTGGACTCTACATTCAGTTTCCGGGGTAAAGGACCCTTCCTTGATACTAGAATATATCGCAAAGCAATAGTACCACTTGTTACTTTCATTACTCAGTACGCAAATAGGGTAAAATAGAATTTATTTAAAAAACAAAAACATGCTTTACAATATAATCACAAAAGAGTGATCACCTGCTTACTTTCCACTACACAGAAGTGCGTTCCGTTTGTTTAAGGGCGATTATCCTACTACGTGGGAAAATAACACACTGCATCCTCTCTCTGAGCCAAACAACGGAGAATTTCCACCTCAGCAAGCTGGCCTCCGGGCGGCCCAGGCTCAGTGCCTGTTGCCTAGATACCGGTGACATTGCCAGTGCTTCCTCGGCAAGGGACTCCGCTACGGTTCCTTCTTCCTGGCACAGCCCCTGCTTAGACAGGCGCGGGGCTGGTAGACAGTGTACTTACCGGTCATCCGCAAAGCCCCGAAGCACAATGGGAGTCCGTCCGTCTGCTACACTGGTTTTTCCAATCCTATCAACTCTAATCCCAGTTCTCAGCTGCCTCATTTCTAAGTGAATTCTGCTCTAAAGTCCTAAAGTTACCAACTGGAATGACACTGAACAGTTCAACTGACTTTCTCCAAAGAAAAGTCACTAAGGAATCAACTGCCTCATTACGTCAAATGTGACAGCTCTGCTCGGTCTGATTTGGCGGCTGAAGTTGCAACGATACCACCATCTCCCTGAAAACTTCCCTTGCGACGCCTAACAGCAGAATACAGGGTGCAGCTACCCACACCGCACACAGCCACCCAAGTGTAAACGAGCATCTTGGTTCACTGAAAATGCTACCTGGCCGAAAATGCAAACACAGCAAGTATTTCAGACGCTAGAGTTCACCCAAACTAGTGTGACCGTGGCGCTCCGTTAAAAACATGTCACAAAGCTGGCGACCCGCAACCTTTCGGATGCTTTTCCAAAGCCCCCGGAGGCGTTCTCCACACCGCCCCCCGAGGGGACTGTTTAGCTCCGGTCCCGCGCGCGCTCCGCCGCCCGACTGGCCCTCTCGCGGCGGCCGGCCCCACTTCCCCCGGTACTCGAGAGCCCCAGCTTTGCTGCTTGGGACATTTCGTTCTCACAGCAGCTGGTCTCATTTTTCTGCTAGTGCAGCTTTCTTAATACACGAAGCCTAATAAAACCCTAAAGGGGAGCAAATCATTAGGACGCAAACGACAAAAGCCGCCCGAAACGAGACGCGAGCGGCGCGGGCACCTGCGCGGCGGGACCACCCTGCGGCCGCGCTCACGATGGCTGCGCGTCACCCGGGTTCCCCCGGCGTGAGGCGCGGGCTCACCGCCGCCCCGGGCCCCCCCACGGCCCGGCGGGTTCCGCCCCTCACGCCGGGGGGCCCTGCCCTCCAGAAAATCCTGAGGGGAGGCCGCTGCCCGAGGCCCGGAGACCCGCGCCCCGAGATCGCGGGAGCCCCCCGGATAAGCCGGTGCACGCCTCCCGGCCAGGCCTCGCCCCGACGGCCGGGAGAAGCCGTCCCGGGGCGCCAGCGCCGCGCCCAGGCCGCCGGCGCCTTACCTGCGGCCGCAGCCCGGCCCGCTGCGCTTCCGTCCTATTGTGTCCCCGCCAGCAAGATGGCGGCGGCCGCGCGGCCCCGCCCCGCGCCTCGCTCCCGGCACCTCTCGCCATTGGCTGGCCGCGGAGCGCACGCGGACGGGGCGGCCCGTCGGCGCTGTTGCTAGGGCGCCGGGATTCGCCGCGGCGGCTTCCGGAAGGGGCGGGGTCAGCGGCGGGACGGGGCGGGGGCGCAGGAGGCGTGCTGGCCGCCAGCACTCTGGACAGCCGGTCGTCTCGTTTCTTTCCGGCCCGGGGGTTTGTCGGGGTGCGGGATTTTCCGCGCCAACATCGCAACAGCCTGCAGCAAACTGGGAAGCGGTCACCCTCGCAGATGGATGGACAGACAGACGGCTGGAAGAGCGGCCGTGGACGGTGGGTAAAGGGGTGGTTATAGGCACCGTGGAGGGGTGGACAGAAGAATGGCTGTCGGGTCCTCCGAGGACCGGCGGTGACCCAGGGCGCAACCAGGTCCCGTCAAGCGCCACACTGCAGGGCTCGTGGGAGGCTCGTTAGTCCCCGTCCCTGTGTGGGCCAGAAGGGCTCCACCTGAGTGAATGTTAGTGTCGCTGAGAAATGCAAGGATGACGGGGTGCTACCGAGGGTGGGAAGCCTCCCACCTGCTCCTCTGTGGCGGCCAGCGTTGCAGCCCGTGCACAGGGGGTCTGCAGAGGTGTGCACTCGTGCACACACACTCATTCAACAGGTGCTCACTGGGCATCCACTCCCGGTGCTGGAAATACAGTGTGACCAAGGACAGTAAAATAAAACCCCCAAGCCCTGCCCTTATGAGGATGGGCAGGAAGGACCCATGGCTAGCTGAGCTCTCCTCTGAGGGGCACCTTCCCTGTGTGGCTTCCAGGGCTTGATACCCTCCTGGAGTCCTGCAACCTCACTACTTCCTCCTCTTCACCTCTTGTCCACTCTCTCTCCCTTTAGCTACTTTCCCACCTACATTCAATGCACCAGGAAGTCCTCATGCTTCCACCACATCACTGAGCCAGAATGAGGCCCCTTCTTGCCAGATCCATGGCTTCCATCCAGTCCAGGCCACCACCCTCTCTCCCCTGGGCAGCATCAGAGCCACTGCCCAGCCTGTTACTGCCCTTGCCACCTTCAGGCTGTTCTCCACACCTCAGCCTGTGAATGCTCAAGTCAGAACCTCTCATGCCCTGCTCAGAACTCTGCAGAGCATCTCCCCAAAGAAAAGCAGGAGCTGGCAGGGGCCCCATGACCCCCGTCACCTTCTGACTGCCTCCAGCCCCAGTGCTCGGCCTCTCACACGCCACGGCCTTGGCACACTCCTGGCTTAGGGCTGGCTGCAGTCGGTCTCCCTACCTGGAATGCACTTTCTGCAGATGTACACAGGACTGCACCCTAGGCCTTCAAGACCCCTCATTTCAGACTGATCTGCACCCCTCTGCCCCCAGCACCTGGGATCACCTTTATCCCCTAAGCTGCTCCACCTTTTTCCAAAGCAGCCATCACCTTCTCACACGCTTTTTTTATACATGCATTTAGTATCCTCCTATGGCACTGCCTGCTTCCTTCACCAGAACAAGCGCTCTGTCAGATGGGACTCTCACAGATGTATCCTCAGGACCTCAACACCAAGCAAGCTCCAGAAGTATGTTGACAGACCGAACAGAAACAATGCCATGTGTTGCTAGTGGTCAGTGCTATGGAAAAAAATTCAACTGTGCTGGTGCGAGGCAATGGGGTTGGTGAGCACCTCAGGTCAAGGCTAGCCCGGGGTCGATCCAAAGGCCCTGTACCCAGCAGAATGTGGAGCAAGCCCAGCTCAGCTCCTGCTGTGGCTTCAGGACCTGCAGTGGGTGGTGTGGCCACAGAACACCAGTCATCCAGGCCATCCCAGACAGGTGCTGCCCCACCGGCCAGTCAGTGCAGACCTCCTCTCTAAGTTTCAAGGACTCACAGCCCAGTCCCTGCAGTATATGTGCCAGATGAGTGCTAGGATGGCCTGCAGCCCTGAAAGGAGGACACACACAACACAGGGCTGCACCACAACGTCAGACGTGGCTCGTCAGCCTTTATTAATTAGCCAGAGCGAAGCTGAGCCCTAGCGTTTCCTCCTAAAAACCCATCCTTACTATGGCAAACAATAAATTTATAGGTTCAGTACGACAGAACAAGAATTGATCACTTTTTAATCATTTCTTCTTTTGAGATTAAAATACAAGTGTAAAATGGGTTAAAATAAGATTCTCCCCAAAGTTTTAAAAATAATTCCAATTGAAAGACACTTCAAACACTATGTGTAGAACTCAGGACCAAAAAAACACCTTAAAACATTTTTACCTTTGAGGTAGCACAATAATGCTGCATTAGATTTCTTTAATTACAATGAACTTAAGAAAACAATGAGGAATCTACCTTTTGCTCAAGGAGGGCTAACTAGTTTTCTACAAATCCCCCACAAGGTTAGTGATGGTTTTCTCCCTTTTGTTTTTTTAAAGGTATGAAGATAGTCCTGCAGTGGGTGGAAGGAAACCCAGGGGAAGGCTGCTTCCCATAAAACAGAAATTAGAGCCACTGAGGAACTCCAGCAGTGAAGACAGAGGGACAAGAGGTGACCGTGGTGAAAAACCAGAATGACTTGTATCTTGGAAAGATTTTTTGACATGCATGTCAACAACAGAAATTCCAACATCAGCCAACTGAAAACAAAAGATAACAGGTGACATTCATGAGTCTTTTCCCTTTTCCTCTGTGCAAATATGCTTTCAATTTTTCTAAACGCAGGAGGGCGGTTTGTACTGGGACACGCGGCAGGCCCAGCGGCTCCACTGCTGCGAGCATAGAATCTGGGCAATAAGATGACTATGACCTCTCCTGGCTGGAGAACCATTTCTTGCTACTTTGCTTCTGAATTTGCTTATTAAACTGCTCAGAGAAAATCTCCACCCTGATTTCTGAGAATCTGGGGCAATTATATTTACACAAAGTTACACATAAGGGCGCCGACATGGAGCACAGAGCACACAGACCCTCCCTTCCTTTAGAGAGCACAACCAAAGCAGAGCGGGGTGGTGGTGGGGTGAAAACAGAGCAGAAGGATGGGGAACACTAGAGGTTGGACCCCCCCAGGGTCTCAGGAACATTCTCCACCACCCAAATCAATAGCAAGGCCAGAAAAGAGGGCGCGGAGCTCTAGCCCATAGAAGGTAACAACGTGGTACAATTAACCAGGGGACCTCCTCCCAACATGCTTGCCCCTTGAGGCTCAGCCAACAGTGCTCCCCAGCACAAGTGGACACTGGAACCCCAAGTCAGGCTTGGTGTGCACCTCTGATTGTTGCAAAGAGAACAGAACACGGGCAGACTCCTGGCACCTACATGAGTGTGCCCTGTTTCACTCACACCTGTCCCTGTAGTCTCCCTTCCTCCACCCAGACCTCTACGGGTATGTGTGAGGGTCTGCACAGATGACCCATGCGGCAACCTGCAGCCAGAGCAGGAGTCCTCAGCATCATGGACTCTCCTCTGTAAAGCAGCAGCCATCATGGGCTGTGCAGCCAGAGGCTCTGTGAATGGAATACTGAACCGGCACGTGCGAGAGGCCAGTGGGAGGGCCCGTCAGGAGCCACCGGCAGGAGACCCGCACAGGGTTCACAGGCGCCCTGACTGCTGCTGGCATGGGGGTACAGGGGGGCATCTGTCTGCTCAGGGTTCAAACAGTCTGGGGCTAGACCTCGGCACCACTTGCAACACCCTTGCGACAAACAGGCACGGTTCTTGTCCGCTAAGGTGTAGATCTGCTTCCCGGACTTACTTGATCAGGAAGCAACACCCGAGAAAAGCAGCTTGGAAAACGGTAGGAAACTGTTGGGCTTCCCCAGGCCAGCTGCCGCGCTGCGGCCCTTTCATAGCTCCGAGTGCCACTCAGCAGGTGACGCGCTTCTGCTTGTGAAGCACAGGGCAGAGCCGGCCCGGGGCCTCGTGGTGCGTCACCGCTCCGGGAATCTCCTGACCGCACTGTCCACGGCACAGGCAAGCGCGTGGCTGCAGGGGCAGCGGGAGGCTGTGCATCTCTGCTGTGTCCACGGCAGGAAGGGCCACGGTCCCCACGTGTCATCTCTTGGGGATTTACTGGCTCATACAAGTTTAAAAAAAAACTTATTTGAAAGGGCCTCTTGATTTCCTATCGGCGTGGCTAGGACATTCCAATTTATCTTGATGCAGACCCCACCTTGCCCACAGAAGCTCTTACAGCATCTGATTTTAACTCATTCTGAAGAAACAAAATTCATTCTGAAATACATCTAGTTAGGGTAACTCATCAGAATTCTGCCTGATTTAATGAAAAGGTTAAAAAATGTTTTAAAAGATGAGCTAAATGGCTTTCCTCTGGGATTAACCATTGGGATCCCAAATACTCCAACATCTTAGGAAGGTCTGTGCAGTAATTCGATGACATTGTAAATGATACTGAATTTTGAAAACAGAAAGAACTGATCTTTAGGACGAATGCCTGAGCCAGCTGACAAACTGATATTTATGAATGTGTCTGAGGGGGATTCTCTAAATAGAGAATTTTTTTTTTAATGAAAAAAAAAAATTTGCTTCTTTAAAAAGTTTAATAATTGATGATTCAACAGCAAAGCTCTGTAACTCTGGAGTAGAAGAAAAGGGCTCTCTCTGTGGTACAGGCTCTCGTGGCACACTGCCATAGCTGGTGGGGCGGCTGAAAACGGGAGCCGAGGCAGCGGCCCAGGGAGGTGCAGGGGTCAGGCGGGGAGGCGGTGTCCCCAGACCCCAGCCGTTCGTGAGCAGTTAGTCACTGTCTCACATGCACAGCAGAGACCGGGCAGGACATGACCAAACCCACTGGAACAGAAAAGCAGATCCCCCAGCCCAGAAAGCCTCTCTGGCTCTCTGCCACCTGCGCTCTGTTGAGCCCAGATTTTCTTCTCTATGACACGGGGGCCAGTGCCAGGTCGGTGTGCTTTGGGGCTGACCTGCTGGGCCCCATGCAGGGCCCTTCCCTGCGCATCGCTGTGAGCCTGGGGCGGCTGTCAGCAGACAGCGCAATGCCACAGGGCTGCAGACCTCCACCCTGTATACCGCCGTGTCTTCTGTGAAACCAAAGGCTACAGTGGTGAATGGCGTGGGCTTTCTCAACAGACAAACCAGGAGATTTCATCCCTCCAGAAAGGTTGGGAGGGCATCTGTGGTCACACAGCAGGTTTGTGCAGACCTGTTAACTTCCAAAAGCAACAGCAGCATCAAGAGAGGAAAGGAAGATGTTTACACTTTGGACTTCGTATCAGGCACTTAAATTGCTGGAGAGACATGCCGTTTTGAACCAAAGATGGAAAACCGGGTTACCGGTGGTCTGACAGTGGGCTTCCAGGAGCAGAGTGGAGGAGTGGGTCACACCCCCGCTCTCCTCAGTGGTACTCGCAGGGTTTCTAGGTGCCCAGGCCATCGCAGTGGCAGCGCCGTGGCAACAGAGGGACAGTCTGTCGTGTCTGTTTTCTGAGTGTGTTCTGTGGCTGACTGGAGAAGGCCCTGGGGTGCGCACTTACTGCCCCGGGTCGACCAGATCCAAGCTGGAGCCGAACACCTTCACCAGCTGCTCCTCGTAGTGTGAGATGTTCCTCTTCATGATGTCCATGCAGGGCCCCAGGAGCCTCTCGAACGCCTGCACGTCCATGACTGCGTGGTTGGAGACAGGAGGGGCAGAGTGAGCTCACAGCCCAGGGTTACGCCCACGTGCCCGCCTTTCCTTCAACATACGTGCTCAGGATAGAGGTGGTCAGACCGTGGGACACTGGGCACTGGCGGGGAGGAGGAGGCTCCCGCATGAGCACAGAAGGCTGCGCCATCTAAGGCAGAGGTGTCGCAAGGCCCTGCAGCACCTGTTCTCTGTCCCCACCCAGCGCCAGACACCCGCCTCCATCGCTGCCCAGAAGCGTTCACTAAAAGAAGACATTTACCTGTTTCTGCTGGCCCACACTGCCCGGGCCCTGATGGGGAGTGGACTGCTGAAGGTTGGGCTGAGAGCAGACAGTCCTGCGCTGCAGAGCGAATGCTTACCGAGGCACTGGACGTCTCCCACTGCATAGGCGGAAGCAGCTCGGGGCTTGTTGGTGACCAGCGCAAGCTCGCCAAAGTACTGCCCCTTGTGGCAGCGGGCAATCTCGACCTCCTGGTTCCCACCATCCTTGTTTGCTTTAGTCTACAGAAGACAGAGAATGGCTGGGTGGATCCCAGCGTCACAGCTGGGCATGTCCCCCCCCACCGCTTGCACACTCTTGCCGGCCACTTCATTCAGCCCCATCATGGAGAAATTCTCTCTGTAGCCTCTAACGGTACTGTGTGAATGGCATGGCTAACTCAGTGTCTGCTTCAACCAGAGGGGCTGGCTGTTCCCTGGGGCCTCACCTCCTAACACCTTTCAGTAATGGCTAAATATCCAGAGGTAAGGTGAAGACTATTTCCTGTGGGAGATTTATCTATATAGAAAACATGTATCACGTGTTTATACTGTACTGTCTGTGGTGGCCGCGTGTTCTGCAGATGTGAATGCTCTCAGGGAGGCACCTCTCCTGAGGTGCGGAGGGCAGGGCAGGGTCTTTGGCTATTTGCCTCCACGGATGTTAGCACTACCCTTAGGCAGAGTCACAGGCCTGGCTGTTCCTTTTGACTGGAGGCCCTGCCTTTCTGGGACAAAGCTTTACAGGGATATGTTCTCATTGTAGGTACTCTCTGCATCCTAAGTTAGTCACCCCCCCAACATTTTTTAGAAGAGTCAGCTAAAATTTTTTTTTATAATGTTCAATCTTGAAATTTGCTGGTTTCACTTAGTATTAAGAAATCAAGCAGGTAGTAATTTGTGCTTATCAAATGTCTGAAAATAAGGTACTACACTGTATTTAATATTTTTAAAGTTTTTACAAATCCATGTGCTGTGCTAAGCAGTGATTTAAGTAAAACGTCACTTAGAAGAATTATTAGGAAGAATTAGCCTCAATCTCTAGGAACCACTTTATGTCACGGGCAGATAGGTAAGTTTTTGAAGGTTGATTTAGCAGAACACACACAGGTGCCACATGGCTTCCAGGGTTGGCCTGTCCTCCCTCTGCCCGGCCCTGGCCCGCTGGCCATGCAGCGGCTGCCCCAGCGGAACCGGCACCCATCCCCATCTCGGTGGTCCTTACTGGGGCTGCAGACATGCCTGTGCCCGCCTGACCCCCTTCCCTGAATGCCACCTACCACCCTGTGCCATGGATACCAGCTCCTGGGGCTTCTTTACAGTGCGGATCGGGATTCGGAGGCCTGGGCAGGGCCCAGCTCTGCATTCCTAACAGACTCTCCCCAGCCCCCCGGTGCCAGCACGCTGCCCATCCTGCACACCCAACATGTACTGCCATCAGCAGGTGCTGATGAATGTCTGAGACACGCACAAACACAGATCAGGGGCCCACAGCCTCTAGTAAAGGGACACACTTGGATTCATGCGAAACTCCGTATCTATTTTTGATGAGGAATCAGGCCATCTTAAAGGCAGTAATCATACTGTTCTTTCCTTCTCCATACATAAGTTTTACTAAGTATATTCTGTAAAACGTTTCATACTAGGGTGGTTTAGTATATTTATTAACTCGCTGTTTTAATGAATTCTGTGTTCTTAAAAACACTGAAGCGGGGTCACCTGGCAATGCTGGGTTTATGGTCTGCCCACCCTTTCAAATGGCCACAACGGCAGTGTCCCCAGAGGCACCCCCTCCTGGTGCTCCAGAGAGGAAGCTCTTTTCATACTCGACACCCACATGTATTTTGTTTTAATGATATAATTGCCCCCCCCCTCCTATTAGGATGTTCATCTTTTTCTTCTGTCTGCCACAGTTTCTCACAGCACTACTTATGTAACAGAGGCCAAGGCAATTGGAAAGAGGAAATACACTAAATCCTGTCAGGGGAAGGGCTCAAACGTGGGTCTTTGCCCCCCACGTACTCACAGCACAGTGGTGGCCTGGCACGCTGCACACGCACCCCAGTACTGGGGGCACCTCCCTCCTGGGCACCCAGCCGGCCGTGCCCCCTGCATCCCCACACCCTCACCTTGCTTTTGATCAGGATGCTCACTTCACCAGACTCTATGATGTAAAAGCTGTCAGCCTTTTCACCCTGGAAATGGAAAGGAGGTCAGGTCAGAGTCATGCACACATGTGTGTTGCAGAGGGACACAGGAATAGAGCATTTTCTCACTACTGAGCTCCAATTTGTACTTATTTTCCAAACTTAAAATCGATCAATGGCTAACAAATTCAGAAAATGAGAGGCTCCTGACCAGGGGATGTCAGCCTGACCACGACTGACTTGCATCTCACTTCCCAACTGGGGTGTTCACAGTTGTCTGCACGTGTGCTCCCCGGCTGCCAGCTGCACAGAGCACCACCCTTCTCACAGCCCCTGTGGGCTTTGAGTTGGGCCTGTGCAGGCACTGGCGCAGTGGTGAGACCGCCACGTGAGTCGAGGTGACCCTGCCCCCATCAAGTGTGGCCCTGTGCTGTCCCCAAGGACAGCATGGCCCAGAAGTGAGCCCTGCCTTGGTTACAGCGTGCTTGCAACCAGGCTGTCACCCTGATGACCTCATGCTTTTCTTTTGCTTGTTTGGATTTTCAACCCCTTGGCTGGCACAGTCATTCAGGTAATGCACCAATAATTAGGTCCTTAGTCTGTGCAGGCACTGTTCTAGGCATGTGAGATACATCAGTGGACAAAACAAACAGCCCTGGCCCTGAGGGGTGGACACTGAGCAAGCAGCATAAGGACTCAGGGAGTCACTCCCATTCTTTGGAAGGCGGTTAAGTGCTATGGGAGAAAAAGAGAAGTAGTATGTGGGGCCCATGGCCGCGGCCGGGGATGGCCGCTGAACATGCACAGAGCTGCAGCAGGGGGAGAGACTGAAGCAAAAGTCCAGAGGAGGTGAGAGCCAGGTAAGAAGGTGTGGGAGGGAGAGGGAGGCGGAGTCACTCCAGGACAGCAGGGTGGTGAGCGCCTGCGGACTGCCACAGAGTGCCGGGTGGTGGTGGGGGTGCCCTAGCCCCAACAGCCATAATTTACACTGCTCGTGTTTCAAGGCTACAGCGTGATCAGTCTTTTCACACACACACATCTGTGTAACCACCAATCAAAGATCAAAACTGAAAATATTTCCAGCCTCCAAAAGGGTCCCTTTGGGGTGTTTCTCTGCTCGCGCCCCGTTAGGTGAGTACACCTGCTTCTGTCCTATACAGAAGCTTCCCCAGGCTTCTGGAACAAGGAATTGTGCATTCCACTGTAAGACCTACTTTGAGAATGCCTGGCTGTGGCTAGGAGCTGGGGCACAAGTGAAGGGAGGGGAGGAGTGTGGATGTTTTGAGGAAAGAGACTCAGGCATGTCTGTACGATGGAGGGAAGCAGTCTGACGCAGAGCAGCTCAAACAGAACGGGTCTGTGACCCAGACGTGCCTGCCCTCTGTGTGCACCGCTCCACTCCGGTGCCAAGAAGTCTGACAGCATAGGACTGGGATCGCCCCGTTTCACGGGGGCGCTTCCTCAGAAGCCCAAAGGTCCGTGCCGCCTCAGGTGGTGGGGGAAGAGCTGGCGCGCAAGGCTGGGCGGAGCTGAGAAGGAACACTACTGGTCCGCAGCGGGTCTGGGTGGAGGCTCCTCTCTGGACCAAGGAAGGCCTGTCTTTGATCCTTTTGATTTTGATGTGCTAAGACCTCGCCATAAAGGGCTGGAATAGTGCAGAAACAATGCAAAGGAGCCTTCTTCAAGATGACACCAGGAGTGCCGGCACCACCTACTTCTGTGGCCTCTGAAGAGGTGCACTGTGTTGCCCCTCCAGCCCACGAGACGGTTAGGCTGGGATGAAGATGGGCCAGGACACAGCAGAAGCTGGCTGTCCAGGCTTCCCAGGGCTCCTGTCAGTGTGCAGGGCAGACAAGCAGACGAGATGACCATGCAGCAGGAAAAAAACGAGCTCAACAGAAGAGCATCCTGCTCTTCAAGGTTTTAAGCCTCTATAGGGCCTGAGTGCATACCTCACAGGCAGGGCATTCCCTGCAACGTTCAGGAGTAACGAAACCAGACTGCACCACAGTTTACATTTTTGTGAACATATGACCAGGGTTTGAATAAAGTTTTTGAATGTCTCCTACATGGAAGGCACTGACTAGGTCATCATCTATGTGCTGGACTTCACTGGACATTATTAAATATATGCCTGTCTTTCACAAACAAGGAATCTACCACAAAAACGACTGAAGCCCTACTTCAGGAAATGGCACCTTTTTGGTTCAATGAAATGGTCCCACTCTCCCCACTGTTATTCAACATAGATCTGGAGGTCCTAGCTACGGCAATCAGACAACACAAAGAAATAAAAGGCATCCAGATTCACAAGGAAGAAGTTAAACTGTCACTGTTTGCAGATATGATATCGTACATAAAAACCCTTAAGAATCCACTCCAAAACTACTAAATCTAATATCCGAATTCAGCAAAGTTGCAGGATACAAAATTAATACACAGAAATCTGTTGCATTCCTATATACTAACGATGAACTACCAGACGAAGAAATAAAATACAATTCCATTCACAATTGCATCAAAAAGAATAAAATACCCAGGAATAAATCTACCCAAGGAAGTGAAAGACCTATACCCTGAAAACTACAAGACATTCATGAGAGAAATTAAAGAAAATACCATTAAATGGAAACACATCCCATGCTCATGGATAGGAAGAATTAATATTGTCAAAATGGCCATCCTGCCTAAAGCAATCTACAGATTCAATGCAATCCCTATCAAAATACCAACAGCATTCTTCAACCAACTAGAGCAAATAGTTCTAAAATTCATATGGAACCACAAAAGACCCCAAATAGCCAAAGCTGGGGGGATTACACTCCCTGACTTCAAGCTCCACTACAAAGCCACAATAATCAAGACAATCTGGTACTGGCACAAGAATGGACCCAAAGACCAATGGAACAGACTAGAGAGCCCAGATATTAACCCAAGCATATATGGTCAATTAATATACGATAAAGGAGCCATGGACATACAATGGGGAAATGACAGTCTCTTCAACAGATGGTGCTGGCAAAACTGGACAGCTACAAGTAAGAGAATGAAACTGGATCACTGTCTAACCCCATACACAAAAGTAAACTCAAAATGGATCAAAGACCTGAATGTAAGTCATGAAACCATAAAACTCTAGAAGACAACATAGGCGAAAATCTGAATATAAACATGAGCAACTTTTTCCTGAACACGTCTCCTCAGGCAAGGGAAACAAAAGCAAAAATGAACAAGTGGGACTATATCAAGCTGAAAAGCTTCTGTACAGCAAAGGACACCGTCAGCAGAACAAAAAGGCATCTGACAGTATGGGAGAGTATATTTGTAAGTGACAGATCCGACAAGGGGTTAACATCCAAAATATATAAAGAACTCACACGCCTCATCAACCAAAAAGCAAATAATCCAATTAAAAAATGGGCAGAGAATATGAACAGACTCTTCTCCAAAGAAGAAATTCAGATGGCCAACAGGCACATGAAAACATGCTCTACATTACTAATTATCAGGGAAATGCAAGTTAAAACCACAGTGAGATATCACCTCACACCAGTTAGGACGGCAAACACAGAAAAGACTAGGAACAACAAATGCTGACGAGGATGCAGAGAAAGGGGAACGAACCCTCCTGCACTGCTGGTGGGAATGTAAGCTAGTTCAGCCATTGTGGAAAGCAGTATGGAGGTTCCTCAAAAAGCTAAAAATAGGAATACCATTTGACCCAGGAATTCCACTCCTAGGAATTTACATAAAGAATACAAGTTCTCAAATTCAAAAAGACATATGCACCCCTAGTTTACTGCAGCACTATTTACAATAGCCAAGATATGGAAGTAAGTGTCCCTCAGTAGATGAATGGATAAAGAAGATGTGGTACAGATACACAATGGAATACTATTCAGCCATAAGAAAGAAACAAATCCTACCATCTGCAACAACATGGATGGAGCTGGAGGGTGTCATGCTCAGTGAAATAAGACAGGCAGAGAAAGACAAATACCAAATGATTTCCCTCATTTGTGGAGTAAAACAATGAAGCAAAACTGAAGGAACAAAACAGCAGCAGACTCAAACTCCAAGAAGGGACTAGCAGTTACCAAAGGGAAGGGGTGTGGGAGGGAGAAGGGGATTGAGGGGCATTATGATTGGCACTCATGGTGTGGAGGGGATCATGGGGAAGACAGAGAAGGCAAATAGTGACTCTGTGGCATCTTACTACACTGATGGACAGACAGTGACTGCAATGGGGCCACGGGGGGCACTTTATAAGGGTGAATGTAGTAACCATGTTGTTTTTCATGTGAAACGTTTATAAGAGTATATATCAATAATAGCTTAATAAAAAAATAAAAAGACAAAAAAAACACGGAAAACAAGATACATGTTTTTTATTCCACTACAAACTAACTCCTGTCCAAATAATTCTAAGAATAGGCAAAACATTCCATCCGTGAGGATCTCTGTACACTCATAAAAACCAGAGCACACACACAATAACATAAAGTCAACACATACACAAAAGTTTGTGTTGAAGACCTCGAAAGGATGTAAACAAAATAACTGTGAAGGCACAGCTGGCCAGGGGACCCCAAGACAGCGCCAATGTGGTCCAGACACCCCAGGGGCAACCTGTGACGCACACTGGGGCCCAGGCCCCTGCAACAGACGGGGCCTCTGGTCTTCCTGCGGGGTCTGGGCCCCAGCTGGACATGTGTGTTAGCAGGGCACAGGCTCAGGGCGCACTGTCTGGGGCCTCAGGGCAGGGACCTCGGGAACCTCTGAGTGCTGCCCTTCAGGTCTGTGGGACAATTTCTGGCTATGAAATGCTCAGAGTGGGAAGGAAGAAATGCTGACAAAGCAAAGAGCTAGGCACCCAACTCAAGAGAATAGGAAGAAGTAACAAAAAGAGGCAGCGGAAGGAAATGAGAGAAGGAGAGCGGGCCGTGAAATGGAGAACAGACGTTCAGTAGGGTTTGTAAAAGGCAAAAGCCCTCAGGACTTCAGCAGGACTGGGAGACTGATAAACCCCTGGTGAGGCTGAGGGAGAAGAGAAGGCACGAAACAGTGCTGGCAGTGAAGACAGGAACACCATTCTAGATGCTACCGGAGCATCAACAGGAACATTATGCCGAGAGCACTGAGTTTTAGATGAAATGGACAGATCCCTAGAAAAATAGATCTCACCAAAACACACCGAAGAGGCAGAAAATTTAAGTAACAAAATGATTTAATCTACTGTTAAATCTTCCCACAAAGAAAATACTGATAACTTCCATAACTGCCCAAGGAATTCTAGTCTTACATAAACTCCTCAGATGAGGGAAATAGAACAGAATCCCAACGTACGCTATGGGTCTAACATTATCTTGATTATCAAAATCTGACAAGAGTACTATAATGAAAGGAAAATTATACACCAGCCTTGTCCAGGAAGTTGGCCATAAAATCTTACACAGAATAGTACCAAATCGGATTCATCCGCATATAAAAATGTCAGTACATGGCGGCTTATCTTATCTCAGCAACACAAGGTTGCTTTAACATTTGAAGATCAAACTGATGGAATCATGAAGTCTTGTTCGTCACAGCCAAAAGCGGAAACACCCGAAATGTCCCTCAGCAGTGGAAAGAAAAATAGTCCATATTCGCACACCGGAATGGTGCACAGGAGGGAAGGCCAAGGGACCACCGCCACCCACGACGGGGGGAGGCTGAGCTGGAGCAGCAAGGGGCGGATACAAGGGTGTTTGCCCTCCGAGCCCCACGGCAGGACACAGAGCAGCAAGATCTGGACATCCCTTTTAGGGTCGGTGACAGCTGTCTGCTCTCGCTCCTGTTCAGCATTGTACCAGAGGTCCCAGTCAGGGCGAACTTAAGGCAAAAAAAGAAAAAAGGCATACAGGCTAGGAAAAGTCCATGTCTGTGATTAAAAGGCACAAAAATCATCAATGTAGAAAATCCCGAGGAAGCTACAAAAAAGCTACTAGAACTAACGTGAGTTTTGCAAGGCTGCAGTTTCCAAAAGGCCAATATCCAAATCCAACTAAACTTCTGTACCTTGGTGATAACTGGAAACTGAAAAAGGAAAAACCACTTAAAATAGCGTCAAATATGTGAAATATCCAAGGATAAATTTAACGAGGGCGTGCTACACCTGAACACTGCCCATGCAAACTGCAAATGCCACAGAGAAAGTAAGAGAGGACGGCAGTAGAAGGAGCTCTGCTGTGCTTGCGGGCCGACCCCCTGTGGGGAGAGCGCCGGGCAGCACACGCACACTGCTCTGCGGAGGCAATTCCCGTGTGGGCAAAGCTGGGCAAACACACAGCGTGAAGCAGAGCTCTGCTGCAGGGGGCCGGGGCCAGCAGCTTGCATTTTTGGCCATTCCAAACAGCCTCTAACATTCCCAAGTGGTGGTGACGCTGCGGACCTGGGCCCTTCCTTGGGGCACCCTCGGTCCAGAGACACTGCCAAAGGGGTCCTCAAGCCGGGAATCTTCTTGGTTTATGTCTGCTCTGCACCACCTACTCCCATCTTCAAGCACACACACCCCGGCAATCGCTGCGGCTTCTCCCGCCTCGGGACCGAGCTGCTGCAGGCCCGCAGTGTTCAGGAGGCAGCAGAGGCCCTTGGCGGGTACACGAAAGCACCTCAGCTTCAGAGCACGGCCAGTCAGCATGTCCTATTCCTGAAACTCAGCCCTACATTCTTGCCACAGCAGGGCACCTGCCCTGGGACACCGCTCATGCCACAGATCCTTGCCCACCCTGTTCTCTGCCCTGACAGACCCTGCCCTGGCCTCAGCTGCTCTTACCCTTTAAGCCCAGCTCCAAGGGCACTTCCTCCACAATTCCATTCTGCTTGTGTATTCTCAGAGCCCCACATGCTCCTTCATTATAGTGCTGGTACCTGGTCCTACTCAGGTATCTTCATGAACGCGTACAGAATCAAACCAATTTCTAACGAAAAGGATTAGCAGCAGGGTACCCAGAAAACAAGCACTTAAGAGACGCTACTTAGACGCGGTTCTGGCTGGCACTTCTCTGGGAGCCTGTCTCCCCAGTGACAAGCCTCACTGTCCCTGCGGGACTGGCCGGGCCCCAGGGTGGGCTCGGGACTGAGGCCTGACCAACCTGAGCCTCTCCTCCTCTGAGCCCCAGCCCTGGCCTCCAGGACGGGCACACCCCAATCCAGACAACACCTCCCCAGTGCTCTCGCCGCAACAACAGGCAGAGCTTTGACCCGGGAAAGTCCACGATCCTCTGCGTGTGCAACTGAAAGGCAAACCCTGCAGGCAGGGAAAGTACCACCCTCCAGCCATCACAGTGACCAGTGTGATGGGGGAACGGGCACACAGGAGCACTCGAGGCAGTGGCCAGGCCGCATCCACGCTGAGCCCTGAAGATGCTAGGTGTCTGGGGCATGTGGTCATAGTCAGGAGGAACCTTGGTGCCAAGCGCAGAGGAGGCAAGGGCACGACCCATCAACCTCCAGGCCTCAACAGTAAGGTGACTCAGGGTCAGAACACGACACCCAAAAAAAACAACATGGGGCCAAGGAAGGGTTAGCAGAGCGCACAGCGCCTGGAGGGTCGCCACAGCGTCAGAGGGCCCCGGGAGGCCTCACCTGGGTGATTATGCGGTCGCCATCCTTATAGATCTTTTCTCCAATCACGTCCACGATCTTCATTCGCTCTGACGCCTGGAATAGCAGACAGACGCACAGATTACAAGGACAGGACCTCAAAGTCACAAATATCTGTATGACACAGAAACGGCTTAGAACAGTATGACTTGAAAGCTAATAATGGAATAGTTTGAACAGCTCTTCTTAAATCCCCATAAACACTCTTCTTCAGAAGACTTTACCTCCAGGGATCTGAGGAGGGGCAAGGACTCGATAAACGACTCAAACTTCTTCCTCTTTTTTGCGTTGTTCTTCAATATGATCCTTCTGAAGGTCAGACGGTCCTGCAGGAAAAAATATGAGAATTTTGGTAAATGCCAGTGTAAGAGAACATGTGGCTTAATTACCTGGGCCACAGCGAATACCAGGGCCCCTCAGAAGGAACCGGGCACCCCACGAGCGCAGCGAGCATTGCCGGCACTTCTCTCTGCAGCGCTGCCTGGAGCTGGTGGCCGATGGGCCACGGAGCGGGTGAGAACAGACCTCGCGACCAGCCGCCTGTGAGCTCGGCGCCTCCCCAAGAGGGAGGCAGACTGGATGGTTCTACCCTCAGCCCTCAGGGACTTTACAGTCTCAGCGGAGAATACAAAAGACATTAGTAAACAATCACAGTCTAAGACCACAAGTGAGGTGAGCTACAAAGACAAGTGCACAAGGACTCCGGGGAGGGAGAGGTCACAGCGGGCGGAGGGATGGGGTAGCTCTGTTGTTAAAGTATGACCCTGCGTGGGGCCCGGAGGAGGAGTGGGCCCTGAATTAACGGAGAGACAGTCTAACTGCTCGGTGTGAGGCTCCTAACTGGGTGAGCAGGCGGTGCGTGCACCCAAGTGGCTGGTGTCTTTCTTCCATCCCAGGCTGTTGGGAATGGGAAGGTTTTTAAAATTTTGTTTTGTTTTGGGGAAGTAATGATGACATCCCTAAAAACGCTGTCAGAATGAAAGGGGAAGGCATGTCAGGCTGGAGGTCTGCATAGAATTCCCAATGGCTGGGTGTGGGGGGAGTGGGTGGAGGCACCTAGGGGCTCCCTGGCTCCCGCCCCGGCCCTTAGGTGCAGAGACCAGGCCCATCCCCGCCCTCTGCACCTGCTTTACAAGGGCTCACGGCCGCAGCTCCTCCCTCCTGCTGAACTGCTGTGTGAATGACGTCTGCTCTGCGGTGTTTAGTCAGACCGTCCCCCATTTTGTCCCCCATCTGCCTGCCTGGAAAGAGCCATTCCAGCTCCGATCCCTCTAATGGGCTGCATCATTCGCCACCACTTTGTTTAAGTGGCTGTGTTGGATGTATTCTTTAAATGCTGCTGGAGTGATAGGAGTATTAATCTGTTGTATTCAGAATTCAGTTCTACATGTTTTTTGGGCCAACCTAGGCCTAGAGTCCCGTGGAAAGAGGACAATCGAGACAAGATGATGGTAATTATAAAGCTGCCTTCCCGTGTGTGTGGGCCAGTCCATCTGCTATTCCACCAGGAGGACTACAGCAGACTGTTTCTGTCTGCAGGGCAACAACTACTGTCTCTCTAGGTGGCCTGTCTGTGCTAGTGTCCTATGCATGCTTTTGCACTTCCCGGGGCTGCGCTGCGCTGCGCAGGGCAGGACACCAGCCGCCAGCCTGGCTTCCAGCAGGGAGGAGACCCCAGGGAAATGGAGTGTCGTCAGCATCAAGTTCCAGAGACAAGCCAAAGCCTGACATCCAGAAGAGAAAAGGAGGGCTGCCCTTTCCAGGCAGGAGTTCCAAGGCCCACGCAGGAGAGCAGCACCAGACCGAGCACAGCAGTTGTGGTGACAGCCACCGCAGCAAGAACAGGGGGTATGTGCAGTGCAGCCCGAGAAACCCAGGGGAATCGTCGGGTCCCCACTGCTTTGACCTCAGAAGGCGCTGCCAGGCCTTGGGAGGCACATGTGGGGGGTCAGGCTGTCAAGACCCCTCTGGGCGCCACTTTTCTGGAGGTGGTACTGAAGCTGCGGGAGGGTCTGGGCTGGAAATCAAGTGACCAAAGCAGAATGAAAGTGGGGCCAAAGGACATCGCGGGGCTACTTACAATGGGAGGGAGAGGATGAAAAGCCTGCAGGGAAGACAGGGCGGAGAGGAGGGCGGTGCGCAGCCAGGCCGGCCCACACGCCATTCTGCAACACTTCCCGCATGCCATGCACCCAGGGCGCCACGTCTCACACCCTAGCCACGAGGTGGGCGGCTTACGGGCAGGTGGTTTTTAAAGATTTCCTGCTGAGACATTCTCTTTGACTAAGAGCGCATTTAGGAGCGTGTGATTTAATTTCCAAGTGTTCGAAGGTTTTCCTGTTATCTCTGCTGCTGATCTCTGGTTTCCTTCCTTTGCGGTTAGAGAAAACAGTCTCATTTCAGTTGGTTGTTTCATTTTACATCCCAGAGTAAGGTCTGTGTTGGTGAACGTTCAGTGGGCTCGACAAGGACATGTACTCATGTGTGGTCACGCAGACCGTGGCGTGTCTGCTGGGTCTTTTTGGATGGTGGTGCTGAATTCTGCATATTTCCTGATTTCCTGTCTAGTTGCTCTACCAATTGTTGAGAGAGGGGTGTTGAAATCTGCAACCAGAACTGTGGATTTACCTATTCTTCCAGTTCTGTCAGTTTTTCCTTACATATTTGGAAGCCCTGTTGTTGGCTGTATATATCTTTAGGGTTGCTATGTCTCCTTGGTAGGTTACCCCTTTCATTATTATGTAATGCTCCTTTGACCCTGGTAATTTTTCTTTGCCGAGAAGTCTACTTTAAAAGATTTTAATATGATTACACCTGCTTTCTTCTGAATAGTGTGTACATGATCGATTTCTATCTTTTGACTTTCAACCCACCCACATCACGTGTTTCTTAGAGACAGCATGTAGTTGGGTCATTGAAAATACTCCCATTGTGCTGGTCTAACTGGCACATTTAGAGCACCACGTATCACCGAGCTGGCGTGTTCAGGCCTCTGCATGCAGTCGCCGCCCGTGCGTCAGGGCTGGCGCCCTCCACTGTCGCCTGCTTTCTGGTGTCCTTCTGCTTTGCTCCTCTGCCCCACTCCCCCTGCCTTCCTGTGGGTTACGCTTGAACACTTTTTAGAATTCCATTTTGATTCATAGAGCTTCTGAGCACATCTCTTTGTGCAAGTTATTTTAGTGGCTGCTCTGGGCAGTGTGTTTATATGTGTTCATCATCACAGTCCAGTGATGCCAACATTTTAGCAGTGCGGGCAACGTGTCAAAGCTTTTCGTCCATTCGCACACCCCTTTCCTCTGCCCCCTTCAGAGTCTGTCTTAGCTGTCTTCTCTGTGGACACTGAGAACCACACCCGACAGCGGTACAGCTTCGCTTCAGCCAGCTAGCGATTCAGAAAACTCAAGGAGTTTCATGTGCGCATCTACCCATGTATTCACGTCCGTTCCTGATGTTCAGAATGTCCTTCCTGAGTCCCTTCCTGCTGTGCCGAGAGCTTCTTTCGGCAGTTTCAAGGTGGGTCCGCTGGTGACCGAGCCTCGGTCCTCCCACCCGAGCACCTTCCTTCCCAGGACATCCTCACGGGGTAGAATTCTGCCTTCACGGCTCTTTTCTTCTGGCCTCCCGAGCAAGAAACCCAGCCATTCAAGGTCTCGTTCATCTACAGGGGATGCCTTGTCTCTCTAGCTGCTTCCAGACTTTTCTCTGTCTTTAGTTTCCTGAAGTTTGATTATGTGTGGATTTCTTTGAGTCTATCCAGTTTGGAGTGCCCTCAGCTTCTGGAATGTCTAAGCTTACTTTCATTAACTTTGGGAATTTTTCAGCTGTTACTTATCTGAGTGACGTCTTAGCCCCACCCTTTCCGGGGACTCTGCTGACACAAACACCGCCTTTGGCCACAAGGCAGGCTCTCCTCACCTCACCGCCTGTTCCCTTTCCGTCCTTCAGCTGGGGGTTCCCGCGGCTCCAGCTTCAGGCTCACGGATTCTTTCTGCTTTTTCTGCTGCTTACCCCATCCAGTGACTTCCTGTTTTGGTTGTATTTCCAGTTCTGAAATTTCCATCTGGATATTCTGTCTTCTGTTTCTCCAAGTGGACCTTCTCTTTTTATTCACCTGTTTCAACTGCACTTGCAACTGCTTACGGTAGCGTTTCTATGACGGCTGCTGTAACATTCCCATCAGCCAGTCCGTGTCTGCTCCACCTTGGTGCTGGTATCTGTTACCATGTTTTCTCATTCAGGTTGAGGGTTTCCTGGTTCTTGATGTAACAAGTGATTTTCTATTGACTCCTAGACACTGTGGGCATTATGTTGTGAAAATCTGTGCCTGATTAGATCTTTTTGCGGGCAGTCACCCTGTTCAGGTATAGCATGTGCGTACACGTGGGAGTGCGAGCTCACCTACCCTCTGGACCCCACTGACTGGACCCTGGTGGGGAAAGCGGAGGGCTGGCTGGTAATACCACACTCCGCCTCGTTTTGCCTCTTTGCTGCTGGTAAGGCTGGGAGTCCAGATTCCTGGCAGCCCCCATGACATTGTTAGGGGTGGAAGCAATTTTCCAGAATCTGAAGGGAGTAGGGTGCTATCATCAAAAAGTTTTCTGTCCTGCGAGGCTGCCCTGTCCCTGGTCCTCTGGCTAACAGGGGCAGGCCTTTCTTGGGGTTGTTTTGCATGTACCTGTTGGTGGGTCTGGGTTGTGGCCTTCCCAGCACCCCATCTGGGATATGTGGGAAGCAACAGAAAGCACAGGCACTGGCGCGTCCCCTCAGGTCCTGAGAGCGGGCCGGTCTGCCCCTCCTCCCCATCTCTCAGGGTCTTCTGGTGCGTGTTTGTATGACATCCAGAGTTCTTAGCTTTAAGAGGGACGACTAGTGAGGAATGGGGCCACTGCTCCATGGCCTGGACAAGTATTTTAAAATACTTTAAGTGTATTTCCAAACTGCATGTATTTTCCCCCATCATTTATTGATCTATCAAATTTTTCAATCATGGTCCCCAAATGTCTGGTTTATTCCTAAGCCACTGTATGTTCCATCTCTCAGGAGCTCCCTTAATCCTACATCAATTGGGTCTTTAAAATGTTGTTTTATTGTATATAAACTGTATTTCAATGAATAAATAAAACGTAGTTTCATTTGAGGAACTATGTTGGTAATTCTATGGTATATGTTTAATTCTGCTCGCAAGACAAATGGAAACAAATTACCACAGATGTCAACATTTTAAAGGTGAAGTTTTGAATCTGTAAATGAGGATGGTCATCTAGTTTGAGAAGGAAGGGAGCTAGACTCTGAAGGCTTGCTGCTACAGGAAGCAAGGTGGTCACGCAGAGAGGACCGGGGCCGCGGCTCTGCCCGACGTCCTGGGAGAGTGGCCACCAGCCTCCTTCGGCCTCTGAGCCCAGTGGGTGTGTCGGAAAGTCCCAATAAATCGTGGATGTTGGACATGGAGAGAAGCTGGTCCTGGGACAGCCAGAGATGGAAAGCCGCAGAGCTTTCGAAGACAGTTATTTCTCTACGCTGTTCTTGTACAGTGAGTCACCTCCTCCTACTTGTTTGGCAAAAGCATACACAGAAAATGCAGCAAGGGCTGACAACTGCAAGGTCATGCGTCCTAGTCTTTCCCCTGTGATTTGGAGTAAATGCTTTGCTGACATTGTTTTAGAGAAACGGAGAAACACATTGGTAAAGGACCTTCTATGACGTCTTTCAATAACTGGCCATTAGCCATAGTGTGAACTAATGGCCCAAGGACAGAGACCCAGAAGGAAGGGGAGCTAACGCTGTGCTACGGGAGGGGGCTCACTCCCTACTCACCAGTCCCCACAGGGAGCCTTCCGAGGTGGCGACAATGGTTGCAGCCCTCGGGGTGTTGTACATCAGGGCCAGCTCTCCGAAGCTGCCGTGGCTGTCGTACTGGCCGACACAGCGCGTCTGACTGTCCTTAGTTACTAAGATGTCATAGGTCCCCCTGAAGCAGAACAAGAAACAATTCCATTTATCACTTACAGTAATACATTTAAGAACTGGCAGGTTCTTAATGTGACAGGAGGTGCATATGATATAAAACGTTCCAGGGGATTGCCAGATTTTTGCTAGCATATTGAAATACAGTGGATTCCTGCATTGCGACCCTGTATTCTGTGGCCTTGCTAAACTCACTTATCAGTTCCAGTAGTTTCTTTGTAGCTCTCTAGGGACTTGCTAGTGGATCATGTCATGTGCAAGGGAAGACAGTTTTATGTCTTCCTTCCTAAACTGTATGCCGTCCGCTTTTTCTTTTCCTTCTTTCTCCTCGGCCTCATTGCACTGGCTGGGACCTACATACAACACTGAGCAGAAGTCCTGAGGGCAGACATTCCTGTCTTGTTCTTGATCTTAAGGGAAAAGCCACCAATCTTCCACCATTAAATATGATGTTAGCTGGAGGTTTTTTATAAATGCTTTTAATCAGATTGGAGAAAAGTCCCTTCTAGTCTTAGTTTGCAGGGAACTTCTATTGCGAAAAGGTGTTGAATTTTGTCAAATGCTTTTCCTGCAGGTATTGAAATGATTGAGTTTTCTTTTGTAGCCTGTTGAAAACTAGGATGTAAACCTGATTAAAATAAAGAAACCAAAAGATGCAATTTCCTATTTTATCGACTGGCATGACGATGGCTAAAGCACTTGGAGAAATAGCTACTTTCAACACACCACTGAGGCAAACATAAATGCTTCAAAGTTTCTGCAAGATAATTAACAACACAAATCCCCTAAAGAGACCCTGTGACCAGCAGTACAGCTCCTGAAGGACGTCACCAAAGACACCAAAAAGCATTTAACTGCAGGGACATTCAATGGGTGATTTCACAGCAAAAGTTACAATTAAATCTGCTAACTGTGGGTAAGCCAAATATACATGTGCATTCACATCATGCAGTCAGTATAAATGATGGCAGAAAAATACTGCATCCCATGGCAACCTAAAAATAGAGTTTAAAAATCAGGTCATACAACAATGTATGGCCCAACACAAAAAGCATAGATTTGTAAGTGTAATGCAGAGTCGACTCCATTTTTTGATGTCTGACTGTCAGCAGCTTTCCCCGCAGTCCTCGCCTTCTGTCTCAGGCCCGGGAAGGCCGGAAGGAGAGCCTGGGTGCTCCTCCTGGGTGCGCTCACGGGGAATTCGAACGGCACAAGCGCTGGCCCAGACACGAGCGCCCTCACCCCAGCCCCGCTTCCAGTCACCACCAGTTCCAAGCCAGTGACCCTTCCCTGCCGTCTCAAGTCACTTCTGGACCTGGTGGGAACCTACACTGCTCTCCCTAATAAGCCTCGTCATGTGAGTAATACACGTTTTCACACCCTGTGTGTGTGTGTGTGCGGTAGCATCAGTCTTGACATCTGAACCACACCTGGGGTAATGAAGCTGACCAAAGCAGTAAAGCACAGGGGAAAATGGAGGCACACACTCTGGTACTGAAATGATGGCTAAATTGTTCTGAAAATTTCCTACAGCCTCCACCGGTCTGATAAATTCACTAAGTGTCATATGTCATGCAAGAGGCAAAGAATAAAACCAATCACCAAAGTGTCCGTGACGGGCACCAACCCCGCTGCCCCAACTCGGGAGCCGACCACACTAAGCCTGGCAGACAAGGCAGAAGGGCAGAGGTCACAAGCATGGGACAGAATTCGGAGTGAATTCTCTTGCGTGTTTTTGGTCTCTCCTCCAGGAGCCGTGAGCTACTTTTTTTGGGAATGACACAAACTATTTCAGGCAGCCAGAAAACACAGTCTTTCTTAACCTCTCCCACTTAGGTCTTCCTCCAAATAATGGGACATATTTTTATCATTGTTGTTACCACCATATTTGTAATAATTATCTATTTAAGGGTCTTTCTCTCCATTAGATCATGAGTTTTTTGAGGCCAGGAACCCTGTCTTTCTACCTAAATGACAGTATTCCCAATTGGTTCATAACTACCTTCACTGCATACAAAAGAGAATCCCTCTCGTTTACACAGGTAACAGATCTTCCCCTTGGCAGATGGGCATTTCAACACCTGAGCTAATGTGTGTGTGGGCAGATGCATGTTTCCTGAGTGTTGGCACCTGCTGGCTCGTGTCTTGTGCGAGAGCGCACTGCCAAGGTGGAGGCAGGACTGAAAGACAGGACTGTGTAGGAAGCATGAGCAGAACAGACAAGAGTGAGACAGTCTTTAAGAAGGAGTTACTTGTATCCTCTTTATTCTTTACATAAAACGCGTCTTCTAGCTGTGGTACTGTGTCCCGGGCGCCAAGGGCCCGAAGCCGCAAGGAGTGAGAGGTTCTCTGACTGAGAGCCTGAAGGGGCCAAGGCCGGCGGGGCACGAGGCCCGACAGGTGCAGCGGCTCCTGGTTAGGACCAGGGGATGCTCAGCATCGGGGGGCAGCGGGGAGGGCGAGCACAGCCTGCACAGCAGTCGGGAGTGCCACGCAAACGTTCGCTTCGGCTTCTCACGGCTGTTCTGTGCTTACACGCATGTTCCTGAGGGACGCACACTGCAGTGTCACAGAAGAAGGGACATGGAGCCTGTGGCCCCCTGACCATGAAGCACCCGGGCTACACCACCAGCCGGGGGAATCTGGGATTACGGGAGCTTCCTGCACTATTCATGTGACATTTCTATAACTCTGCAGTTACATCAAAAGAAAAAATTGGAAAAAATGGAAGGTATGGGGGGAAGTTCCATCTTACTGGTCTTAAGCTCTGCAGGTGCCCCTTTTCAGGCAGTCAGAAGGATCCCACTGGATGACTAAGAGCTCAGGAGGTCAGGACACTAAGGTGAGCAGGTCAAGCCCACTCATTTCATGTCTCCAGAGCCAGCAGAGGGCAGGGGCGAGGGGTGGGGGTGCTGTGTTCATGTGTACAATTAGGCTGGGACCAAAGGGTCCTGATGACAGTACAGTGTCACAAGTATTCAGAAAATCAGTTCACGGGAAGACTGGCAAATACATGTTTGTAAAGCACATCTTGCCTAATTGCAAAGGAGACTTTCTGCCGTGACGGTGGCAACCCAGGACAGCAGCAGACAGAAGGGGCTGGCTGTGGGACGCTTGTTTGCTGGGCCCCATGTCCCCTCAGGGCTGGACAAAGCCCAGGGTGAAAAGCACTGTCCCTGCATCAAGGGCACCATTTCATGCCACTGCCCAGCTGCAAGGCTCTGCGTCCTACCGTTCTATGACATAGAAGTTGTCTCCATCGTCTCCTTGGTCAATGACATGCTCATCAACTTTGACTGTCCTTTCAAACATGGCATCGAGGACTTGAGAAAGCTGTTCCTGCAGGGCACACAAGAAGGAAGGATGGCTTTTACATTTGCTGAGAAAATGACTGCTCATCTAAGCTCACGACGGCCACATCAGACTGCCCCCTGACGTCTGGAAGCCTGTGGGCTGGCAGAAACAAATGCCTTCCTGTGACCATTCAGCTTCATGCCTCAGTGGACACAGCAGAGTTGCTAGGTTTTTCTGAGGCAGTATTATTTTGAAAAAATATCCCATAATTTATGCATTTAGGTATTTAAGCCATGGTTCCCATTATCCCATCCGTACCCACATGACTGCTGCGGGTCTTGATGGCTCTTTCAACATTTTATGTTTTTAGAAAAGCTAAAAACATAAAGGGCTGGACGGCCTCAGCGGGTGTCCCGTGCAGCAATGCAGCTGCTCCGACCAGCCACACATGCCACTGAACCTCTCTGAGTCTTTTTCTTCATATGTGAAAAAGGGCTTAAAAGTAGGCCCTGCTTTATCCATTTTTATGACTGACAGAGAAAAGTCTAAGGACACGACAGGTACCCACAAGTGACTCTGTTACGGGACAGCTAATATTGCTTCAGTCATTTACATACATGACTGACTTTACGGCGTTACCTGCCCCAACCAGAAGGTGACTTACAAGTAATGAAAACAAATCAACGCTATTAATTCTAGCAACACGGCAGTCTCAGCCCAGGACTGGCATCCCTCTTCGGGCAGGGAGACCAGGGACCATTTGGGGATGCTAAAGAACACCAGCTTCAGCTGGAAGAAAGGCTGCCTTTTTGTAGGAATGTGGCCTGAAACCTGGCAAGAAGTATTTCATGGCTGCCTGATTCCCCAGGATTTAGAGCTCTGTCAGTGTACCTGCCACCTACGATACTTGATTATCAAAGAGCGTCTCCTTCGTTCCATATCCCATGTAGGCTGACTAGTGAAAATACTTAACAGGAATTTTGTGCCATCCACATTCATGTGAAATGTGAGCCTGGTGCTGTCAGAAATGTCCTGTTTAAATACGGGTAACAAATTCAAATTCTCACGTACAATCCGGGCAAATGCGCACCTATACCGGGGGTGGGGGCTGTCCTCTGGCGGCCTTGCGTCCTGAGTGACTCTTCACGAGTACCACTGTCGGGACATACAGAGTAAGGTGTGGGGGGCATTCTAGGTTAACAGGGACTAAAATGACACAGTGACAACCAAAAGCAACATGTGACCGAGGACTGAGAAATGAAGCAAAAAGCTACAGGGCCTCTACTGAGAAAGTCGGAATATGGACTGTGCACCAGGTGATACTATTCCGCCAACGTTACATACTTGAACTTAACAAGGACACTGTGTTAATACAGATTATCCTTGTTCGTGGAAGTACATCTAAAGGTATTCAGTGACTAAGGGTCGCAATGTCTTAAATATATTCATAAATGACTCTCAGTCTGTAAGTACTCACGTGTGTGTATGTACACATGAAGGGGAGTGGATGTGGCAGAATGTGAGCTTGGTTGGTCTGGGTAAAGGGTGTGTGAATGCTCATGGTACTATTTTGATATTTCCGTAAACTTGAAATTTTAAAACAGAGATTTGGGAAATAAATTTTTAAAAATTGAAATAAATGCACTCATCAGAATGCTAAAATTTGAAAAGGTAGAAAATATCAAATGTTGGTAAGGATATGGAGTCACAGGGAATCTTATGTATTGTTGGAAAGAATGCAGGATGGTACAACTGCTTTGGAAAGGACTCAGCAGATTCTCATAAAATCAAACATACACCTACCCTGTGACTCACCAATTTTGCCCTCAGGCATTTTACTGAAGAGAAATGGGAAAAGTTCACAGAAAGAGCCGAACAAAACATCTATAGCATTATTCATAAGAGCTAAAAACGAGAGAAAGGCCAGGTAGCTGTTACCAGGAAAGCAGGTCGGAAACTGGCATCTGATGCTCGGTGGCCCTAAGACAGCGGGTATCACGGACCCCGGAGGGTGCTCTAGGGGGCACAGCCTGGTTTCTGAGGCAGCCTAGCCAAAAATGTGTAGCCACACCCCTACCCCAAGGAGCAGCAGGCAGCCCAGACTGGGTGCTTTCTGTAAGGCGAGCCGGTGCTCGTGTCCACGCGGGGCCCCCAGAGACAAGGGGTGCGTTAGCTGGCAGGGGTCCAGCAATGGGACTCCGGACTGGCTCCCAGCAGGCCGTGTCGGGCAAGGCCGGTGCTTTAATGACTGCGCAGAACAGCGCTTGCCTCTGGGCCTGGCTGTGTGCCGCGGTCACGCAACAGGCTGGTACTGGGTGGCCGAAAGAGGGCCGTGGGGGCACAAGGTTATTTCTGCAACTTTCCATGAGTCTGAAACTAGTTCACAAGAGTGAGGAAAGAACACGGGTGATGAAATGCACGCAACCTGGCCAAGTTCAAACAATGCCGCGTGGGGACCCGCACAGAGCACAGCTGCGGGACTTGCGCTGCAGGCAAGTCGCTTGCGGAATGGATCCAAGTGGTGCCGCCTCTGAGGCAGCGGGGAACTGATCGCCAAGCGGCAGGAGGGGGCTACCTGTGGTGGAGGCGACCTTCTCTCCGGACTGGTGGGTTATGTAGGTGCACACACCTGTCAGACCGCAGGGAAGGCGCCTCACTGTATGCAAACTGAACTCTGGTTCATGATACTCATGCCCAAGTATTTCAGGGAAAGTATACAGTATCTGTGATTTATTCTGAAACACACCCCAAAACACGATGGGCTAATGCAGAGGCCAGCAAACAGCCGTCCCTTTCTGTATTACCGGAGCGCTGCCACACTGTTCACTGCGTATGCAGGTGGCTGCTTCCCCGCTGCAGTGAGAGAGCTGAAGGGCTGAGACTCTCTGCCTGGCTCCACAGGGAGGCACGCGGGTGTGCGGCCCAATTTTAATGCTTGCGAGGAGCAAGGCAGTGGGTAAATGCATTTCAACCTCGTTGTATTTGAATACTTTTATGATAAAATGTTAGAAAAATATACTTAAACCTGAAATTCAGGTGTCATTTTGCAATGCTAAAACGGTGAGGTGGTATTCTCTGACACTAAGACGACTCTGAGTATTAGACTGACACAAAACGGCCCAGAATGTCTAACGGTATAAAATTTACAAGGGGCTTAGTCGCAGGAACGAAGGAGGCCCCGTACCACTGAGACAGATAGACAGGCCTCCCAGGGAAAACAGGTGACACAGACCCGTATTTCTCACAACCAGCCTCTCCTTGAGCACGTGGCCCTTTGTTTTAGTCAGCCTCAGACTAATGAAACTGAGTAAATTGCTGGCTATTTCTACAGCCACAGTTACCAAACAGACTCATTCACAGACACCAAGGGAAGGTCGATTCCATTGACTGACAGATCACAAACTCATGTCTGACCGGCCAGACTCCCCGGGAAGACCACGGGGTGTCTCCAGAAGGCATCGGCAGCCGCTGCTAGGCGGCTCCACTCCTGCCTCTGCACGTTCTGGGCTTCTCCAGAGGGCCAAGCAACTCCATGCAGGGGGCTTCAGCGTGTGCCCCTCCAAGTAGAGAAGAACCAGGAAATTTGAAGATTCTCTGCCCTCAGGAGGTATCCTTGGCTCTCTGTTTCCATCCGGGGCCACCCTGTGTGCCCCGGTGCCTGAGGCCCTCATGAGAAATAACCACACGAGGTGTATGGCACCTGGGATCCGAGAAGCGTCACACTTCAGTGGGTTAACAGTTGCTGGTGAAGACAGATCACACCACATCTTTGCAGAAAGCTTGTGCAGCATAAGTTCAGACCCTACAAATGAAGTCATGCAAGCCTGAGCACCTCCTTTTAACATGGTCCTCAAATGCTGTTGTCCTGAGAAGGCGCTAAAGCAGTTCACAGAAATACTAAAAGTCGCCTGAAAAGCTCGCCATTGTTTTGGGTCAACACGATACAGACACTTGTAAGTAAAGTGAACCTGAAGTGTACTCTCCATATGGCTGTGGCTAAGATGCTAAAGGCTGTTTAAATGACAAGGAGGCAAAAAACAGAAAGACAAGAGTATTTTTAAAGAATCAATGTTACCTGATCAAGATTTTTGAAAAGGAGAATGTCTTTGCATGCCTCCTGAAGCCTGCATCTCTGCTGGTCAGTTTTAGGGTGAACCACCTGCCAATCCAAATAAAGGAGGGACATGTTTTAATTCCATTTAAAAATCTTACTTACTTACCAATCAGTATATTACTTTCTCTTAAAAATGGGAAAAATTTCGAGCATGTTAATGGTAACTTCAATCCTATACCAGTGTTGAGCAGTGCTCTTGCCGTGGGGGGCAGGCTCAGGGGAAGAGGACACACCTGGGGCCCAGCAGGGGCTGTGTGGCTGGCAGCCTCGTCGTTCAAGCAGAGGGTTTTAGATCTGCTTATTCAACAAATATTAGGCATCTACTGGTGCTAGAAACTGTCCTACCCCTGGGGACCCAGTAGTGACCACACAGAGAAAGGCCTGCTCCCACATTAGATAAATATGTTAGACTGTGGCAGAGCTTAAAGGGAAATCAAAGCAGGGAAGGGTGATAAAAAGTGCAAGTGGCCAGATGAGGCCCTGAGACAAGGTGACATCGGTGCAAAGATGCCCAGGAGGCAGGCAGAGCTGAGGGAGGGAGGGCAGCTGTTGGGCAGGAAGAGCGCCCTGGCTGGGGGTGGGGGTGTGGGGACAGCACACGTGGGAGATGATAGGGGTGTGGCGGGGGCCAAGGCAGGGCGAGGGGAAAAGGGCAGGAAGATGGCACTGTAGGTCACAGGTGGGCTGAGGGTCTGCCTAACGTCCCTGCAGGCCAGCTGCTGAGCCAAGGGCACGGCCCAGGAGAGCCACTCAATGGCCCAGTGAGGGAGCCGCAGTGGTGAAGAACTCCATGTGGGTATAAAAAATGAGAGGAGCTGGGGTGACCCTAAACATCTGGGCCTGACAGCTGGGCGGCGGGAGCAGCTAGGACTGGGCGGCCACCAGCCAGCTGCCCACTGCAGCCTCCGTGAGACAGCGAGGACCTCAGCGGCCACAGGACTAAAGGAGAGGGAGGACAGCGGTGCGCCTGTTGGGCACCCGAAGGCTGCTGCCGCCACCGCTGGGGTCACAGACAGCCTGCAAAAGCCCCCTGAGAACCCACGGTGCTGCCGCAGCCCGTCACTGCCACTGCAGCCCCCGCTGGGCTCCTCCTAGGGCCTCCTTCACCCCGAAGGAGGGACAGCACAATCTGGCAAAAGTAACAGACGGGAAAGTGTTAAGCATTTTAAGTTTGTGATACTAAAAAGTTAGTAAAAATATTGTTTTAACTTTGAAAAGTCATCAAGAATTTTACAATATCCAGAACAATAAATGTTAAAAACCTACCCGTTAAGATTCCTCAAGGGAGGAACAACCTAAGACAGGCACAGTTGCAGGGGGGCCATCAGGTGAGAATTTGGGGATCAACAGAGGTGAGGCTCAGAACCTCACCCCCCCTG